AAACATGTCCAAACTTAGGTGACTCTTGCGAACCAATGCTGTATCTTGGCTGTATCTCACACTCAAGTGCTCATTAATTGCTGGTACACCAGAGAAATCCCGAGAGAGCAGCGAGAAAGCTGTAGATAATTTTCCTGAATTTAAAGCTGATCAAATTCGGGGTACAAAGTTCAACCATCCATCAACTGTTCAAGAAAGCGTGCATGCCTTGAAATGCCCATGTACGAGTGCTATCAGATGCAGTTGTCGAATAATAATCATTTCCCCCATGTATGGACTCATAATTCAATCCGAGGTTAATTATCCTACTTACCGAACCATAAAATCGGGCATGGTGTACAGAACACAGCTGGCGCTCTTGCGGTGGGCGTAGACATGTTGCCAGCAGTCCGGGGTTCGACTCCCCGTGCTCGAATGGCAAGTTGTGCATCTTTTTGGTTTTTCAACATCGCCATGTCTCCCTGAACCAATCAACGAGGACTACTTATGGTACACTTTGGTTCAAGAAATTGCACCCAAAATTCGTTTTCAAACACACCTCATTGTTTTCGGAGACTTGCGCTGGATACACAATTCACCCGCTCAGATTTATCCGTCCATCTGAAGCTAAATCATCAATAAATATGCTCGGGGATGGTGTACGGCACACAGCTAGCTTCCATTGCTCGGAACCATTCATACTCTGCCGGCAGTCCGGGGTTCGACTCCCCGTCCCCGAATCTGCAGGTTCCCAGCCTCTTTTTGCACAAGTTTCGAAAATGATCTCCCGAACGACTCCGACTTCCGAAAAAATTCAGGTGCCGTGCGGTTGCGGTTGAACTTTTTGGACCCAGGTGTAACCATCTCATCCAATTTCAGCATTTCAACCGTGACCACAGAGAAAATAAACTTGATCGCCCATTTGCACCGAGTTCTAAGACTCTCGCCTTGGTACAGCTAACCGCTTACCTGCCCATACTTATAGTCGGGGATGGTGTACCGAACACAGCTGGCTTCCTTAAAGTGTATTTCTATGCATATTACTAGCAGTACGGGGTTCGAACCCCCGTGCCCGAATGTCCTGCCTCCTCGAGACCTTTTTTGTACTCTCCCTCCAGCTCTACCCACCCGACCCATAAAACCGGGGATGGTGTACGGCACAGTGCACACCACCGGCTTTCGTAGTATACCCATGCGTTGCGTTACCAGCAGTCCGGGTTTCGACTCCTCGTCCCCGAATAGTCCCGTGGTGTCTTACTTTTTTTCAACCTCGTGGATTCCACTTTCAATGATCCAATTTTCTTGAACCCAAATTCTTTCTCAACCATACGTCCCGCTTTGTTCTCGGAGACTTGAGCTGGGTATACAGTTCACGCCCTCAGAGGCATCTGTCCGTATGTAGCCAAACCACCAACTTTTAGATATGGTCGGGCATGATGTAACCATCGCTTCCCAATCCAATTTTAACCACACAGATAAAACCGAACCCCGATTTTGCACCAACTCGCCTTGATGGACCCAACCGCTTACCTGCCCACAAAATCGGACATGGTGTACGGCACACAGCTGGCTTCCTTAGGATTGAAATTGGGTAGAATGCATGTTGCCAGCAATCCGGGGTTCAACTCCCCGTGTCCGAATGGATCTCGTCTTAGCTTTTTTTATTTTAGTTTTGTTTCAACATCGCCATGTGTCCCCCGCGTGCCCGATCCACGGCTATGAATTCCGCTTTGGTTCAATTTTTCTGGACCCAACCATTTCTTCCCACTTCAACCACGCATCAAAGTGAACTTATTTTTTTCGCTCCGAGTTCATGCACTCACCCTATACATATAATTAGGCATGGTGTGTGTGGCACACAACTGACTCTCTTGCTTGAATCATCGTGGATGGTGACCAGCGATTCGGCATTCGACTCCCTATGTCCAAAAGTCCGGAACAATTGCATTTTACATGGTTCAAGTTCCCGGGCCCATCGCGAAGCATCTCTTGGAATTTCAACTATGCCGGAGACTTTACTTAGGTTGGCTGGTGAGTTTCTTTGAACCACCGGGTCATTTGCACTAGCCTGAACCTATTTTCCCTTCCGCATCCTTCGAGTATGATCGTACTTCACCCACCGAACTTGCCAAAAAAAAATCGGGCACGATGCATGGAACACAATTGACTTCCTTGACTCGTTTGTGATTTCATCCTGAAGTACACTTCAGGACGAAATTTTGCGCCAGCACTCTGCTCCGGGGTTTGGGCAGAATTTTGCTCATTGTCAATGTGCTTACATGGAGACAGCAGCGGTGAGCCCCAATTTATGAACAACAATATATTCAGATGCTCGAACTCATCCAAGACTACGAGCCATAGATATTAGGGAGTTATTAGGAATCACTGAGCGACTCTATGCTTGATGGATATTTGCATTCCGTCCCCCGCAAGGTCGCTGAATGCAGCGGTAATCTCTGGGCTAGGCATTTCCGAAGTATCGGGCACTGTGAGGCGGAAAATCTGGATTTTTGCGCGACGCGCAGCGAGCGCACGGACTGACGCTGCCCAAAAGGAATCGGACATGCCAGACTCGCGAAGGTGAATGACCAGCGTGTGGAGGTGGGGCAGCATGGATGAGGACTCCAATGCTGAGAATATTTCTTCCGTGAAACGACATTGGACCCGCCATATCTCGAACCGCCTCAGATTGGGTACGAGACGAAGGCATTGATCCAGCGGGGTGTATTCGGAGCAGTCCCATAGGACAACAAGCTCCAAGAGCGGCGGTGGCGAACACGTTAAGAAGTGGAGCAGATAATCATCACTCGAGATGAGTGACGTGGAAAGGGCTTCAAGATTGAGGAGGGAGAGATGGTCGAGGATGGAGTCAGTTGTTAAATGCTCTATTGCATGTTCTCCAAATGTCAGCTGACGAAGCTGCGGGAGGGCCACTTTTTCGTCGGGTTCAACATCATTTGACATAGAAGAGTTGTAAAAGAAGTACTCGATTAGGTTAGGAGCTCGGCGTAGGAATTCCAAGGTGGCACAAAGCGAGAATCCCCAGCCCTCAGACCCATCTAGACCGCAGATCGTCAGGGCTTCAAGCTGCAGTAGCGGTAGTGTCCCCGAACTCGTGTCGCTCCAAAGTTTCATGGAGTATCCGGCAGACTGTTCTTGATCTTCGACATCTACATAGCATATTTCAAGGTGTTTGAGCGGCTGATGATGTGTCAGAATAACAGACATGACGTCGTGGTCGAAACCTCCTTCGAGAAATATTGATAAAGGGTGGTTTTGTGCCCACTCAAGCCAAATCGGCAGGGCTTCCTTCTGGCCCCCAGCGCAAGGGAAGATGATGCGGATTTCAGCCCAAAGGGCTGGCGTGGACAGTGCAATATCTGTCCAGGCATGGCAGACATTGAGCAGAATAATAGGAGGGCGGGGAGCTCCAAGCTCTGGGAAGGGATGAAGAGACTGGAGAAAGATCTCGGAAGAGAGTTCGAGCGGGAGGAGCGCCACAGGATCAAGAGCAACGTTCAGCTGGCGCTGCACAAGACTTTTATCATGCTCTAGTTTCTTCAGCATGTCCCTCTGTAGATCAATCTCGGTCTCCAGCTTCGCAATGCGCGCACGGAGTTCCTGGACGGACATTTCGGATCTGCTTCTGCTACGGGGGTCTCATCGTTCATCGTCAGGAGAACCGCAGCACGACGGCAGGTTATATGAATCACCGTTGGAATTTGGCCCTTCAGCGCGGAAAGGAAAAGATTTGCAGGATGTGGTTTTGTCTAGGGCTCTGTTTATAAGGCCGGTTTGTAAACATTGTTTTAAACACCGGTTTATAAACGCGGTTTAAAATGGTGGGGGTCAAAGTGCCAGTTTATAATTCAAAGTGGCTGGGTCCTAACAGGGCAAAGTTGACTCGAAGTCAACTGGGATGGGACAAAAATCAGGTAGTTTCATGTCTACTAAAACAGCTCATGCTGTCAGTATTGATTTAGGTAAAAGTCGCCCTTGGGCTGGGCTAGAACTGTCAGGAATCCGGCCCAAAATTGCCCTTGTATCAACTCAAAACTCGCTTTTGTGGCCAATTTTTAGGCAAGAATAAAAATTCGAATTTTGGGGCATCCAGTAAGTTGCAGGGAGGCACAATTTGGGCAAAAATGCTGCCAAACTCATGCACAGATGCCGTTTTGGGGACTTTTGGGGTCGGTGTTTATAAATGCATTTATAAACACCCTGTTTACAAACACAAAATAAAAAACTGTTTATAATGGTCCTGAGAATTATAAACAGGTGGCATCGGATTGATCGGATGTCGGTTTTGGCGATCAATAACGCCGAATTGCTCCGTTCTCACGGTTGACCAAAAAAGTCGTCTCGTGCGCCCCAGCCACGAATCGTGCTCTTGATAATTTAAACACGAGGGAGATCACACTGCAGGCTTATTTCAGCGGCTCCCTCCAGAGGCTCTGACACTAGGGTATGTACACATCTCTTTGGCCATCTCCTCCGAATGCCCGGGATTCCGAGATTCAACCAGTGACAACAGAATCACTCATTCATCTATCTGCTTTCATCGTCTCTCTGATATTCAGATCTTAATTGCGCTCAGCCATTGAGTCTGCAACGAGTTATTGATCCTGTACTTAGCGAACTAGGTGATGAATGACCTCGTTTTTCAAGTTGGAGTATGAGATTCTCGCCTTGAAGCACCTAACCCGTTACCTGCCCATAAATCGGGCATGGTGTACGGAACACAGCTGGTTTCTTTTATGGTAAGTACTTCAAGGCATATTAGCAGCAGTCCGGGGTTCAGCTCCCCGTGTCCGAGTGGTGTATTCTATCTTGAGCTCTTTTTTTTCTAGTTTCAACATCGCTATGTGTCCCCTAACTTCGAGCAATTCGCGGCTATAGCACTTTGGTTCAATTTTTTTTTCAACCACAGCTCACGGTGTGTTCTCGTAGACCTGGACTGTACACAGTTCGCTCTCTCAGAGTCATCTGTCCATGTGAAGTTAAGCCATCAATAAATATGATCGGGCATGGTGTATGGCACACAGCTGGCTCTCTTGAGTATCCAGCATGGTGACCAGCGAAATCGGGGTTCGACTCCCCGTGTCCGAATTTCCGGCTCACCCGGCATTTTTTCCTCAAGAGTCAAGACCACCATTGCTTCTCTATAGTACAAACGGCCGAGGAACGAGGTAAAAATTGTTTGTATCTACAACCAATTATTGCTTCCCCACCCCACAGGTTGTCGGGGTACTAGCAGTGAGTTGGATTTGCCTGAACCCATTTTGCCTTTCGATCACGCACAACACGGTGTGTGCTCCACATAAATTCCCAGATTTGCCCCAAGTTGGAGACTCGAACTTTGATGCACCTAACCTGCCCATAAGATCGGGCATACTGTACGGAACACAGTTGGCTTTCTTGCTTTGTAGGTCGACAATCCATGTTGCCAGCAATTTGGGGTTGAACTCCCCGTGTCCGAATCCGGGTGCAGGGCGCTTTCTCCCTGAAGAGTCGAAACCCCCATTATTTGCTTCTCCCCTTAGTTGCCGTGGTACTAGTAGTGTGGTTGAATTTCCTTGAACCAATCTTTTTCAATCACGTATAACACGGTTTGTTCTCTGAGACTTGCTGCGGGCTGGACTACTGGGTCATTGGTGTGGCATGTGGCATGTGGCGAATTTTATGCCCTCGATTTCATGCACCCAACCCATCCAAAAAATCGGGCATGGTGTACGGCACACAGCTGGCTTTCTTGCAGTCTGCATCAGTCCATGTTGCCAGCAGTCCGGGGTTCGAGTCCCGTGCCCGAATACCTCAGATCCGTCCAACAGTGGTTTTTTTCTTCTTCCAATATCGCCTTGTCTCCCAAGCAATCCACGGTTATGCGCTTGGGTTCAACTTTCCTGAATCAAACCATTTCCTCCGTTTCAACCATGCATCAAAGTGAACTTATTATGTTCGCTCCGAATCCGAAACCAGTCTGAATTTCCGCCTAATTATACTGCGCATTTTATGCCCCAAGTTCATGCACACACCCTACCCATGAAATCCGGCATGGTGTACGGCACACAGCAGTGGCTTCTTTCTTGAGTGTGTTTGAACGTCGCTAGCAATGCGGGGTTCGACTCCCCATGTCCGAATCTCCAAGTTCTCCGGCTTTTTTCCCCTCAAGTTTCGAAAATGATCTGCCGCACGACTCCGAAAAAATTCGGGTGGCCGTGTGGTTGCGGTTGCGTTGACCCTTTCAGACCCAGTGGTAATAACCATCTCTTCCAATTTGTTTTTCCAGCCACAGATAAGACCGATCCCCAATTTGCATCAAGTTGGAGTCTAAGACGCCCTGATGCACCCAACCGGCTACCTACCCATATTCTTAGTCGGGCATGGTGTACGGAACACAACTGGCTTTCTTCGCTCGTTGCAATCCATGTTGCCAGTATTCCGGGGTTCGACTCCCCGTGCCCGAATGGGTCTTTTTCTCTCAACATCGTCATGTCTCCCCCAAGCAAGCCACGGCTATGCACTGCGTTCCGACCCCTCCTAGACAGACTGACAAACAGTGATGGATCACTTTTGTTCAATTTCTTGAACCTAATTTCTTTCACAGCTGGCCCTCTTTGTGCGTTGCAATCCTTGTTGCCAGCAGTCCGGGGTTCGACTCCCTGTGCCCGAATAACTCCTCATCATAGTGGATCCTTTTTGTATTTCAACATCGCCACCGTGTTTCCCCTAAGTAATCCACGGTGTTTCCAATTTTCTTGAACACGATTTCTTTTTCAACCACACCTCCCGCTCGGTTCGCGGAGGCTTGTGATGACTACACAGTTCACCCCTTCAGAGTGAACTGTCCATAGATCTATAATAGCTTTAAACTCGGAGTAGCGGTTGGATTTCCTCGGACACGCACGAAAGCCTAGGCCTCGCGAAAGCCGCCGATTTATCGACTCGCGCTTCGGGAGGATAAGACTCGGGATGGTAGTTCGTCAACGCCCTCTTTTGTACACTGGGCCAGGGCCGATTCGGATTTTGGGGGAGCTCCCACCTACAAACCATCTCAATGCTTATGCCCTCAATCAACTCCATCCCATCTGCTCGGAGTGACTGAAACTACGCAAATATAATCGGGCATATGTGCGGAACACGGTTGGCTCCCTATCTTGGATCCCCTCCAAGCCGATTACCAGCAATCCGGGGGTCGACTCCCCGTGCCCGAATATCCGTTCCTCAGTTGGTTACACTTTTCTTTTTCGAAGCTTTTGTCTCACACGTGCACCTCGCTCACACCGCACAGGTTCCTGGTTCAAGTTCAATGTTGAATTTCTGTGAACCCAACCATTTCTTCGCACAAAAACATCTGGCGGAGACTTGCGTTGGGCACTCTTCTACATTAGGAACGTTAACTCAAACACATATGCCATGTGTATAATTGGGCATGATGGACGGATCGCGCCGCAGGCGCCGAAGATCCAGCTTTCGGTTGTCAACGGTCCGGGGTTCAGCTCCGCCTGCCTGGATATTGAGTGAAGATGTGTTTTTTTCTCAAGCTTGGCAATAGACAACGGTGACTGACAAAAAATCCAATCCGTCCAAGAATACCGAGGAAAGGTCTGCGGGACTGAATCAAGATTGAGCGCGAAAAGAACCTAAAAATGCGTTGTTACGCACGGAACGTAGACATGGATCAAGAGATTCTATACTCGATGGATACCTGCATCCCGTCCCCCGCCAGCTCGCCGAATGCAGCGGCAATGTCTGGTGGAGGCGCCTTCAAAGAATCAGGTAATGTGAGGCGGAAGATCTGGAGTTGTGCGCGACGGGCTGCGATCGCACGGACTGACGCTGGCCAAAAGGAATGGGGCAGGTCAGACTGGCAAAGGTGAATGATTAGGGTGTGGAGGTGGGGCAGCATGGACGAGGCCTCGGCCAATGCTGAGAATAGTGCTTCCGCGACGTGGCATTGGACCCGCCATATCTCGAACTGCCTCAGATTGGGGACGAGGCGAAGGCATTCATCCAGCGGGGTGAAGTCGGAGCATGCCCATCCGACAACAAGCTCCAGAAGCGGCGGCGGCGAACGCCTTAGGAAGGGAAGTAGATAATCATCTCTGGACATGAGTGGCGTGGAGAGGGCTTCAAGATTGGGGAGGCAAAGATGGTCGAGGAGACGGCTATTTGTTAGAGGCACTATTCCATGTTCTCCGAACGACAGCCGACGAAGCCGCGGGAGAACTGATTTTGGGTTGGGGCCAACATCGTTTGAAAGACAAGTGAGGTACAAGTGGCACTCGATGAGGCTGGGGGCTCGGCGTAGCAGTTCCAACGTGGCACGAGTCGAGAATCCCCAGCCATCAGCCCCTAGACCGCGGATCGTCAGGGTTTCAAGCTGTAGCAGCGGCAGTGTCCCCGAATTCTTTGGTCTCCAAAGTTTCATGGCGTGTCCGGTGGACTGGGTCTCCCAGTAATCTTCGTTATCTACGTCGCAGATTTCAAGGTGTTTGAGCTGCTGATGGTGTGTCAACATAACGGACACGATGTCGCTGTCAAAAGCTCCTTCGAGCCATATGGATAGAGGGTGGTTATGTGCGCGCTCAAGCCAGATACGCAGGGCTTCCTTTAAGCCCCCAGAGCGCGGGAAGATGATGCGGATTGCAGCCCAAAGGGCCGGGGTGGACAGTGCAATATCTGTCCAGGCATGGCAGACATTGAGCAGCAGAATAGGAAGGCGAAGAGCTCCAAGCTCTGGGATGAGAGGAAGAGACTGGAGAAAGATCTCGGAAGAGAGTTCGAGCGGAAGGAGCGCCACAGGATCGAGAGCAGCGTTCAGCTGGCGCTGCGCAAGACTTTTATCGTGCTCTAGTTTCTTCAGCAGCTCCCTCTGTAGATCAATTTCGGTGTCCAGCCTCGCAATGCGTGCGCGGAGTTCTTGGACGGACATCCTGGATCTGCATGTTCATGATCAGAAGAGCCTAAGACTGATGGCAAGTTATGTGAATCACCGTTGGAATTGGGCCCTTCAGCGCAGAAAGGAAAACCAAAAGTTATAGGACGTGGTTTTGTCGAAGCAAGGGGTGTCATCGGAGTCACTTGATCGGTCGTAAAACCCCTATCATTGTATCAAATCCCGGCCAAGGCGTCGGCTTTTCCCGGACATAACCTCTTCCTTCTTCCTTTCGACGCCTTTCCATCCCAGGATCCTGCTCACGCTTTTAACTCGCCACCGCGACGATTTGCTATTCCCATTGTCGCCCTCTAGCGCGTTTCAATATTGTTCAAACTCACATTCTCAGATCTCTTGCCAGTGATCGGAGCAAAATAAACTCGACTGCAGACCAAAGCGCGCATCTTGTGTGTGGCAGTCTCTGAGATTTTCAAATCGACTCGCGGTGGAGGACTTCCCGGAGTCGAGTTACCCGAACCACTCGACCTCGCCGTCGATCGCGCGCCGCGTCCAAGCGCGCGCTCAGCATCGGCGCGTCGAAGCTGTTTAGAGTCGCGACGCAGCGACGGTCGTTGTCCACGTCTCGTGCTGGGGACGGTAATCAGGGAACCAGGGAACCGGCGCGCCACTAAGCCTTGGCGGCCGACACATATCATTTGTGTTGGATAGCGGCGGGGACTCGGAGGAGGCTGGGAAGGGACCCGCCGGAAGACAAGCGGCTGGCGGGCCTGGAGGACCTGGCAGTGCACAGAAGACGTTTTTGCTGACCTATGGGGTGGATGAGATGTGTATGTGAAGGCGGTGCCGCAGAGTACGTTCCCTTCCCTTCCCTCCCTCCCTTGCTTCGACCCACGCTTCTTTCGCGCGTGAACAATAAATGCTAATCGTTGATCCCCCCAGAACCCCGATCCGACCCGACCAAGTTCGCGAAGCGCGAAGGCGGGCGGACAAGCACGCGCCATGGAGGCGGAGTAAAACGCTGTCACCTGCGTCGCGGCTTACATGCTCCTCATGTCCTTGATCATGGTGTGGTCTTTCTTGAGTCATTTATTCCCTTCGCGTTCGCGTTCCATTCGTTTCCGGCGCACACCCCCCCTTCCCTTCTTTTTGCTTTCCGCCTTGGGTCATTGGGATGTCCGCTGATACGACGACGATAACAGCGCAGACGTGATTCACGGGGCAGTTCGTCAAGTGTTATGATCTCGTGAAGACATGCCTCTCGGCGCAGTACGACGGGCCGAAGAGCTGGCTTGACCAGCTCATCTATGACCGCGCCCTTTTGCTCGTACGTACCTCCGCGCTCTTCATCTTGTCATACAAAAGCTCATTAATTAATTATTTTATTTTATTCTTTCGCCACCATTATTTTCGCCTCCCTTATTTCACCTTCGCCTCTCTGCATTCACCGCTCGTCACTCGTCCGTCTACTCATGTCGTTTTCCCGCACAGAGCCGCACCGCCGCACGCAAGGAAAGGAATCGATAAGTAGAGGTAGGGACGGCATAATGAATTTTTGAATAGAATTTACCTGACGCCTGACACCCAGCAAAATCTGGTTCGATGTGAGTTATATTCGTCCTCTTCGATCTTACCTAGGACTAAGCCGATAGTGTTGCGCCCAGCTCGACTGAAATAATTGTTTAAACAGCGTTTAACGGTTCATGTAACACCGCCGCACAGCTCAAAACTGGAATAAATGGCAGCCTCCCACAAAGTGAGAGAGAATCTGTAGATTATGTAGGAGAGCTCACCTGCGAGTTTCAGCACCCGACCCCGCGTCTAAAGCACACTTGGATAGATATATCTCCTCAGGCTCCCCTCCCGTACGTGCGTATTTTTGACGGCTGTCCCTTTCTTTTTGGCGGCCCGTTATTATCTCGGTTTTCGGGATTTGCGCCCGTGCCTGCAAGCGGACGGCGTGTATCCCGGCCCTACCAATGAGGACCCTCAAAGTTGACGTCGTGCCGCGCGAAATAATTGAGGACGAATTGTCCTGTGTGCGCCGTACAGTTGCACATCGTGAGAAAAGTAATGCCCTTGCAGTGGATGGAGTATCTAGTATCCCGTAGTTTAAAGGGGCGTCCTCTACTAGGCCGGACTGTCAGAACCGATATGGTGCGGGTTTCAAAGACAACCGTACATAGGGTGAACCCCCCTCCCCCTCTCTCCTCGTACAACAACCATGACCACCATCCTCGCGGAGATGGATGAGATCTGTCCTAGGGTCCTGTCATACGGGTCCACCCCAAATTTCACCCAACAACAAATGACCAACTACAACTCATTGGCACCATCTCCAACACGGCGGACCGCACCCGTGACCTCCTGCGCGCCAGATTTGGGTTGCTGTGAACAGACTAGATCTCTTCACGGACGAAGCCAGCGCGGCAGACTTTGTGGTGAACAAGCGACGCGAGCTCTCATGGTTAGGAGATGATCTCAGGGGGCGATTTGCCTGGGGCGAGCTGCGGATCTACGTGGCTGAATAGACCGTGGACCGCGAATGCTTCATAGACATGTGGCGCGGCA